TCTCTCTCTCTCTCTCTCTCTCTCTCTCTCTCTCTCTCTCCTCTTCCCTATCTCCTGAATAAACTCTCCCTCGTGGAACCATTTGGTCTGCTGTGATCTGTCCAAGCTGAGCGCAAAAAAACCTTTTAAGAGTTACTAACCCCATGGAAAGACAGGCAAGAGCATTGTAGGGGGTTAGCACCAGAGACAACATGGCAAGGTCTCTGAAGAGAGCAATAAGAGCCAGCGTGGGAGAAGTGGGAGACCCTTCTTACATTTTTTTAGAGGATAGAGTCAGTTTCAGACCTACACTCCAGCTACCTGATTCCCAAGCAGAGGCAGGGAAGGGGTGGAAGCAGGATGTGGGGGCATCAACACCTTCTTTGATGTAACCTTCCCCCCAGACAAATCCTGGCCCTAGTCTGCTAGGGAACTCACAAAACCTCAGTTGGATGTCTGTCCATATTTGTGAGGAGGAAAACAGCCACTGCAGATATTGTAGCCTGAGCAGTGGATGGATACTAACGTTATGTTCTTATAGTCTATGTTTTGTCTATGTTTTTTAAAAGTAAAGGAATGATTTGACAGGTTAAGAAAGAGACTCAAGGGACGGTGGGTATCATCTGGGTCTAGCTTCTAAGCTAGTCAGGGGTGAAAATGTGGATGGGGCTGCCTGATCCATGGTTGGGTTTTTAAATTACATCATTTCAGGATCCCCTCCAGGGCCTAAGACCTACCTGCTGGGCAGGTTTCCCAGGTTTAAGATATGAGACAAGAATTCCCTCCTGCGGGGCAGGCCTCAAATCCAATCAGCAAGCAACCAGTTATCCTCCTAACAGAGTCTCTCTGTGTACCCCTGTGTACCCCAGGATGATCCTGATCTTCCTGCCACCCCTTAGTGATGTGATTCCTAGCTGCCTTGGGCTGTCATGCCTTGCCTGTGATAGTCTCTTGCAATTCAAATAAGTTCGTATCAACTAGCCTAAAAGATTTAAGACAAAGTTTTGCCAAGTAGCTGTGGCTCGCCTGAAGTTTTCTATGTAGACTACACTGGCTTTATTTAAGTAAAATAAATAACAGCCATACCCCGAAGCGTATTCTGGGAAGTCTGGCTTTCTATAGTATCTCCTCCTTCATCTATTACTTGGGTTCCTTTCTGAATTATCTATCCAAATATATAAAGAAATGCATTTTACTCATTTTCAATCTCTCTTGGTTAAATACCTAACACGACATTTTTTTTTTTACAGGCTCAGAGGGCATCTCATAGGGAGAATGTTGATGGCGTCAACAATGGCTCTTTTGTTTGACATCACTTAAGCCTGCGGTAAGAGGTGAGCCAGATTAACCAGGAGTCAGAAACATCTTAATTTGCCAGGATGAGGTAGGGGTGAAATTTGGTCCAGGCAGGGGTGGTTTTATTTTGTTTTGTTTTGTTTTTTGCTTTTTCTTTTATTTTTGGTTACAGTAGCTATACCCTAACCATTCCCCACCCACTACCCACTCCAGGAGCCACTACTGATCAAGGACATTTTCAGTACTCGGCCCCAACTAGCTTAGCAACTTTAAAGTTGTAGTGGTGTTGGGACTAGTGGTGTTAGTCTAGTGAAGCTCTCCCACTTGATAGGAGATGAAGGAGAGAATAATTGTACAGGACCTGTGGGGAGACAATACAAAGGTTTAAGGGCTTGAAGGAGATTGAAACTGACTAAGAAGTTCAGGGAACTAGTAAGGCAACGGTGGGAGTAGAAGGAGCAGAGGTCAAGGGGATCAGGTTCCTCTCTTTTTCCCTAGAAGAGAGCACTGTTGGGGACATGGGGAATGGCACTTCAGAGCCACTTCCTGTGAACCAGCCCTGTCAAGCGCTGCTAGTCTCAGCTGCCAGCTGTTCCTACTTGGGCGCATCTTGGTTCAGTTGTGTTCCTCTAGGATCCACTGGGCTCCGTTTTGCTCCGCAGCGGCGCTAGTGGTGGACGGCCTAGTTTCAGCTGGGTGCTGCTAGGTTCGGTTGGGATTGACTGGGCGCCAATGGGCTCCGCAGCGCTTGGCTGAACGCCTATGCATTCGATTTCGTTCCTCTGGGCTCCGCTAGGTCCGGCTGTGTGCCGCAGGGCACGGCTGCGTTCAGATTGGTTCGGCTGTGCCGCTGGGCTCGGCTAAGTTCGGCTGCGTTGCGTTGTGCGCCGACTAGGTTCGGTGGTGCGCTGCTGGGCTCGGCTAAGTTCTGCTACGTTCGGCTGTGTTAGGCTGTGCGCTGACTAGCTTCGGATATGAGCCTCTGGGCTCGGCTGTGTTCGGCTAGGTTCGGCTGTGTACCTCTGGGCTCTGCTACGTTCGGCTGGAAGCCTCTGGGCTCGATTATATTTGGCTGTGCACCGCTGGGTTCGGCTAAGTTCGGTTGTGCATCGCTGGGCTTGGCTGACTGCTACTAGGCTCCGCTAAGTTTAGCTAGAGCCTCTGGGCTCGATTGGGTTCTGCTGTGCGCAGCTGGACTTGCTGCATTCAGCTAGGTTCGGCTGTGTGCCTCTGGGCTCCATTGTGTTCGGCTGTGCGTTGCTGGGCTCAGCTGTTCGGCTAGGTTCCGCTGTGCAACTCTGGGCTCGATTGTGTTTGGCTGTGCATCGCTAGGTTCCGCTAAGCTCGGCTAAGTTCAGCTAGGTTCGGCTGTGCACCGCTGGGCTTGGCTGAATGCCACTGGGCTCGGCTAAGTTTGGCTGGAGCCTCTGGGTTCGGTTGGGTTCAGCTGTGCGCAGCGGGGCTCGGCTAGGTTCGTCTGGAGCCTCTGGGCTCGATTGAGTTCGGCTGTGCGCAGCGGGGCTCGGCTAAGTTCGTCTGGAGCCTCTGGGCTCGATTAGGTTCGACTGTGCGTCACTGTGCTCTAAGTTCGTCTGGAGCTTCTGGGTTCGATTGGGTTCGGCTGTGCGCCGCGGGGCCCTGCTAAGTTTGGCTGGAACTTGGGGTACCGCTGGGCGTTTCGGAGCGTCTAGCCTGCGCTCTTAGTGGGGTGAAAAGCGGAGTGCCACCTATCGATACCGGCCCCCCAAGGTGAGCAAAGAGAAGCTCGGTCTCGAGTTTAGAGGCTACCGGACCACAGGAGCCGGCTGTGCAGGGCAGCAGCCAGCCTCAGGCGCCTGTGGTGACGCCGTCTCCACGCGACAGCGTGCTGACCAGCCGCGGTCTCCACGTCTCAGGTTTCGCAAAGACGCATGGGAGGGGAACAAACGGAGGTTTATCAAGATGGCGGAAGCGGAGGACTCTCCAGGAGAACAGGAGGCAGCGTCATCTAAGCCCCTGGTGAGTTAGAGTACTGTGACAGAAGGGACTGAGGGTGAGGCAGAGCTCCCGGTAAAGAAGTCGGGAACGCTTCGAAGTCAGAGCTGGAGCTTCTTGGCCCTGCAGGCCCTTGCTTCTACAACCACCTAGCACTACACCTGTTCCTTCAGCCTTTCCCTTCCTGTTGGCTGTCCTCTGTCTTTCTGTGAATCTCCGCTGCCCTTCCACACTCGGGATTCCTTGACGTTAGTTAAATGCTGAGCTTGGAGTGGTTTCTGAAGTATCTTCTATCACTGTCATTTTATCAAGGCTCGTCACCGGTCATCGTGAAGTACTACAGAAGTAATGAAACTGCTTCCTACAGGATGTTGTCGTTTTATTGGTTTTAACTTGAACCTTGTTCGGTGACTCTAGTAGGCTAATTATTATTTCCAGGTGCTTGCTATCCCCTTCATGACACATATGTGTTATTAAGAGCCTACTGTTAAGAACTGTTTAAGAATGCAGTACTGTTTAAGAACACAGGCTTTACAGTTAAACCCATGTGAGCTAGAGTCCATGCACACTGAAGCTTGTGTGAGTTTGAGCACTTCATTTCAATGAAGGGTGTTTGTTTTTGTCTCTTACATGAAAATGAAGATACCTGCCTTTAAGAGTTTTCAGGAAGATAAAACCAGATGACTTATATGAAGTCCCTAATACAGTCATGAGTGGAGAAGTATAAGGAAGTCATTGTTATGCCCTGACGTTCTTCCTCCCAAACAGTATTTACTTATATAGTGTTTGCTCAATAAATGATTCCATTTCTTTTCTTTTAAATTGGCAGCGTAACAGTAGAGAAATGTACTGAGAGGCAAGGGAACTTGATTCCAGTCCCAACTCTGCTGCTTACTAGCTCTGTTTGTTCCTCTCTTCAGCAAAAAAAATATTTATTGAGAGTCTAGAGTGGTTCACGAAATCTTTTAGGCACCAGGAATGAAACTTTAAAGGAGCGTATTGAGTCTGGGGATGTAGCTCAGTGGTGAATTGATTGCTTTGCATATGGAAGACCCTTTAGGTCCAATCCCCAGGACTGAAGGGACAAGGTAATTTGGGTCATCTTATGGATCAGTTGGGACCCTGAGTAAAATCTCTCTAAACCCCAGTTTAGACTTTTGGAAAATGATGACGCTCATCAAATAAAGAAAAGTACATAAGCTAATGCAAACATTATGCCTACTGTGACATAGTTTACAGGTAACCTAGCTGGTTTTAGTTTCTGTTTTCCCCAGACTGTTCCCCCTTCTGGGATGTCTCTGATGTGTATAAGTATGTATGCATGTTTGTATGCATGTATATATGTATGTAGGTATGTATAGACAGGGGCTTACTGTGTTAACCAGGCTGGCCTGGAACTCATGCTGGAAAGAAACTAAATCTTCGAAGGCAAGTGTCTGACATTTACTGTCGATATTTTTTTTTCATTATATTCCACCACTTTTAATTAAAAGGAGTGTTTGAGAATTAGCTGTATTGCCTGTCTGTTGAGCTAACATTTATGTTTAGCTACTATGCAAACCCCCAAATATCCAGGCCCAACTCTAGAAAATGGTGATGTTTCTGAGATATTTTGCAGCTATGAGCTTAATTTTCTTTCCCCCATCTTTTCTCAGTTTGCAGGGTTATCCGATGTGTCAATTTCACAGGACATTCCCATAGAAGGAGAGATTACTATCCCCTCGAGAGCTCGTACTCAAGAATGTGACAGCTCCACACTAAATGAATCTGTTCGTCAGACCATTGTAAGTTAGACTAGTAGAGAAACCACTTCAGTGTTATGGGAGTAAATAGGCACTAATACTTTGAAATGGTTTTGTTTAGTTCTTTGATTTTTTTTTGTAAATTTTTTTCAAGATTTATTTATTTATTTATTTATTTATTTATTTATTTATTTAATGTATTCACCATTGCTCTCTTCAGACACACCAGAGGAAGGCATCAGATCCTATTGCAGATGGTTGTGAGTCACCATGTGATTGCTGGGACTTGAACTCAGGACCTCTGGAAGAGCAGTCAGTGCTCTTAACCTCTGAGCCATCTTTTCAGCCCAGTTCTTTGATTTTTAATATATTTCTTCTACTGAAATTTATGATTCCTCCTATGAGTGAGTTGTTAGTTGGCAAACAGAGGGGACTTCCTGGTACTTTGATCATCACAGTACATGGAGTTATTTTTGTCTTTCAGATGCGAGATCTAAAAGCTGTGGGAAGGAAATTTATGCACGTTTTATATCCAAGGAAAAGTAATGCCTTGTTAAGAGATTGTGAGTATATGAGGTTTTTGAGGATTTGTTTCAAACCATTGATATCTTGTAGTTTCTGCTTTATAAAGCAGAGGCAAAAGTAATAAAGCCAATGCTGTTTTACAGGAATAAGCAGCTATAGAAATGACATTTTTGGCAGAAATTAGAACAGAATTTTAGAAATTGAAAGACCTGGCTCATTATATGACGTTCTCCAATAAATATAAACTTAGAAAATGCTCACAGTTGAATTTGGTAATGTGATTTGGCTATCTATAGTTAGGAATTTGAGGTGATTGAGATTCTCTCCAGGCCCTTAAGTCACAGGCAGAATATCTTACTTGAATATTATGTACATATGGGGAACAGATTGTCCATAGCTCTTAATGTGCTGGAATGGAGATTAGATGAAGAAAGAGTAATTTATGACACATGAAGAGAACAAACTTTAAAGGATATGTGAAGTCAGGGAGGGAAACGGAAAGGTTGGGAAGGCTTAGGTGAAACTTGCTGCTAGGATTCTGAGTGGAAGGTAAGTAGGTAAAGATGGAAAATATGGCATATGGTTTCTTAGCATCCTGTTTTTCCTTTCGTTGTAGGGGATTTGTGGGGCCCATTGATACTTTGTGTGACACTTGCATTGTAAGTATTTACACTTCCTTCCTCATTTGAGCTACTTTGTTTTCATGGAGTTCTAGAATTAAGGAAAAAAATTGACTAGGCCTTTAGGACTTCTTTTATTGTTTATAAGAGTTGTACTCTGTAGCCCACACTATCCTGGAACTTTTTGTGTAGCCCAGGCTGGCTTCAGACTTGTGCTTCTCCTGCACCGACTTCTGAGTTCTAGTGTTTCAAGTATGCGCCAGCACATCATAACTTTTAAAATTTAAATTTATCATATACTCATTTAGACCATAATGTAGTATTACTTTTCTTGTACTTATTAAGGAAATTGGTTCTGTGCCTTGAAAGGATAGATGTTAAGAGCTCTTGAAAAAATATATATTGCTGAGTTTTAAAAGATTAACTTTAGAGCTTATGTAGTTTCACTACACTTATTTGCAGAGACAACTATAGACCTAAAATGAACTCGAGTGACATGTCTAGTGATAGAACTAGCGTCAGTGTTGGGTCCCCTGCTTCCCAGATTAGTTAATATTCTTTCCACCCAACTATACTCAAGTGATAGGGATTCCAGACAACAAAGAGTGCACCCAGTGCTCAGGATTTGGAATAGAATACATACGGCCATAGAATACAAACTCCTCCACATACTGGAAGACTGCATAACCAGATAAGACTTATAGATAACTTATTTATCCTATGTAATATGAGATTATGGACCTTTTTTATTATTATTTTTCAGGAAAAACATACCAAATCTAAGTATTTAAGTTCAGAATTCAAAACATTTTATATCTATTAAATTCGTAGATGCACAATATTTAAGTGACAGTTCAGTATTTACTCAGTTTCAAGCAAAGTCCTTTAGAAATATATATTCTGATTTTTAAAAATCAGCAACTGAATAAGTTTAAAGACTATTTCTATTATTGAGCATGTGCCCTAAAACCTTAATGCATGAATTACAAATTCATAGCTGAGCATGATGCCTATAATCCTGGCAGTCAAGAAGCTGAGGCAAGAAGATGACAGATTAGAGGCTTAGCCTAGGCCACACAACTAGATCTTGGTTAAAAAACAAGCAAGCATGTTCTTTGACTATTTGTACTTATTGTCTTGCTTGTTCCTTGACTATTTGCATCTATTGTATTGCTAGTTCCTCAACCTAGAACTGACCACCTTAATACCTGCATGTAATTAAAGTGGTATAAAAGCAAAAAGGAGGAGGGGGGATGGGGAAAGTGGATGGCATCTGAAATGTAAATAAATAAAATATCCAATAAAAAAAGAATTTAAACTGAAAGAAGTAAAAAAAAAAAAAACAAGCAAGCAAACAGACCATCATTGAGATTTGCTAACAGCTAGAAAAGTAACCTAAGCCCCCAGAATGTTGATCTGATAACTGGCAAGCCCTTATTGCCCTGCCAGCTACACCTGATGCTATTGTTGGAATGGAGGTCAGGTGTGAAAAATCTCACTTTTCACATAAGTACAGATTCCTTTTTGTTTTGCTTGAGAATGTAACCTAGGGCCTCATACATGCTAGGTAGACCCACTACCAGTGAGATAATCCTCACCAGACAATTACATTCTTTTCTTCTAACGCAAGAATTTTCTGGCTCCATCTTCCCAGTATTGGGATTATGATACACATCACTAAAACCATTGTCAGAAATGTATAGTCTTAGATGAAGCATTCCAACTTAAAAATACTGTCAAACTAATTTAAAGCTATTTTACATGTTTTATGAACAACAAAAATCTCATGCTTGGGAGCTATGTTTGGCCCTTAAGTTCAATAACTTCTGCTTTGACAGAGAGACTTTTAGTGAGCCAGTTAAACTCTCTAGAAAGGTCAAAGTGCAGCACTCCTTATAGTCCTCAGGCATTTGGAGTTTTAAATAAGGAAACCTTCCCAGATACTGTTAGTATTTTCCTTATACAAAGTACATATTACAGTACAGAGTAAATACTGATGTTCAAATGAGATACACTACAGCAGTCTAGTGAGAATGCATGCCTTTGTCGCTTTGTATAAAAGGTTATGTAGTTTTCATACTGTTTTGTTTTCTTAGGATGTTACAGAAAAGTCCCATAGATGGGGAGAACGATGGAGGAGGCCCAGAGTTTGCAGAAGTATTTGTTATCATCTGGTTTGGAGCAGTTACCATCACACTAAATTCCAAACTTCTTGGTGGAAACATGTGGGTATCATATGAACCTTTTTTCCTGTTTGCTAGGTAGCACATGGTAGATTTTAGAAAGACTGTGCTATTTTGCTTTTTTTTTTTTAAGAAAAATTGATTTAAGGACCAAATAAATAGTTCTTTTAAAACTCAATTGAAATAAATTTTAAAGTTCACTGATAAGCTTCAGATTTTCTCTTTAAATTTTGAACTTATAGACAAAACCTATGGTAGAACACATTCTCAAATTGATCTCTAACTAGAATAGATTAGGAACTACATTATAGGGTTAATGGGATACCTCTAGGAATTAGAGTAGATTATTTGATAGTAGAAAATTGACATTTATGGGTCCTAAGAGGGGAACAGGAAGAATATAGAGAAAATGAAAGTATACAATACAAGAGACTAGACTCATGAAATTACCATTAGGGCAAAGGTATGGCTAGGCTAGCAGGAAGGAGGCAGTAGTGCATAAAATGTCTATAAGATATCCGTACAATGAGCTATGTCTTGATACTACTCAATGACACTTATGATCTGTGAATATGTGTTTGTAGTTCTTTTTTTCAGAGTCTCTGTGTATTAGGATACTGCATATTTCCTTTGAACATTGCAATGCTGATCTGCCGCCTGCTACTTTTGGCAGGGCAGGGACCAATAAACTTCATGGTTCGGCTTTTTGTGGTGTTGGTGATGTTCGCTTGGTCCGTGATAGGTGAGTAATGGAACATAAAAAAACAACCAAGATAAAATAAAACCTCGGGTTAAAGATAAAGAGCCAGTTATGAACAATGAAATTCAGCTGTCAAATGAAAGTAGTAGCCATAGAATCCTCTGTTCTAAGTAAATATTAAAGGTGATGATGTCCACATTTTGTGAGCTGGCTATCTGAACTTAGATGTGCAGTCAGTAGATATGGTGGTGTACACTTATAATCCCAGCTACTTTGGAGACTTGAGGCAAGAAGATTGCAAGTTCAAGGCAGCCTGGACAGCTTAGCAAAACCCTGTCTCAGAATGAAAATTTTATAACAAGGCTGGGAATGTAGTAGTCCTCATGGTACAGTGCCTACTTAGCATTTATGGGCCCTGAGCTCAAGCCTCTACATCACAGAACAAAACAAAATAAACAAAAAGATGTCTGTAACCACATTGTTTGAGACAGGATCTCTGTGTTACTCAGATTGGCCTTGAACCTGTCATCCTCCTGTCTTTGCCTCCCAAATTGTTGAGATTACAGGTCTGCACCACTCTGTCCAGCCTATAGGGGTGTTCTTAATGAGTAAGAAGATAAGTAGGCTTCTTTTGGATAGATAGAATGATAGCACTTAAAGAGAGCTGATAGGTTGCAGGCCTGTAGTCCCTATAGTCCCTATAGTCCCTATAGTCCCACTGGAGAGGTAGCAGCTGGAGCATTATGAGTTCAAAGTCAACTTTGACTACATGGTATGTTCAAGGCCAGTGAATTAAACATCAAGACCTTGTTTGAAAAAACAATGCCAATAGTGGCAGTAACAAACAGACCCCTCTCCCCTATTAACTCACAAAAAGAAGGAAGCAGTATGAAACATTTAGCATAGGAGCAAATAACATTACTCATATTTAAACCTGCTAAGCATAACTCAGTGTCTTTCTAGAATAGGTTAAGAAACCTGCTTAAGAAGGATTTGCATCCAAAATAGCCAAAAACTTTTGAAGCTTTAGTATATGAAAGAAGCTGTCCTGAGCTGTTGTAAGTCACAAGTGAACTCTGCTTATGTGTGTTGTTGCAGATGAAACCTAGGACCTTGTCCATGCTAAGCAAGTGCTCTACTACTGAGCTACATGCTCCCACCCTGTAACTGAACTTGTAGTATTCTCTGAGGAGCCACAAATAAAACTGAACTTTTAGTGTACTCCTATGATCTAGATTATGCCAATCACATTGGAGTTTAGTAAATATTAGTAGTTCTGAAAATATGACTATACTAAATACTCCTTTTTGTTTTCTTTAGCATCAACAGCATTCCTTGCTGACAGCCAGCCTCCAAACCGAAAAGCCCTGGCAGTGTATCCTGTCTTTTTATTCTACTTTGTTATCAGTTGGATGATACTCACATTCACTCCATAAATCCGGATACACACATTCAATACCAATGAACTGAAGGCTCACCTGAAAGATAATAATTATCAACAACTTCCCCCACTCTTGTTTAGCTGTTGGGTATTAAAAGGGAGCCACATACCACCATTGTCATTTATATAAGAAACTGATATTTGCAAGGCTGTCATTTCCTCTGTTATTATTTTCAAATACTTGTATATACCGTACATAGTAAGATGCCTCCTTAAGGCATGATGAAGCTATTTGTGTGACAACCAGTGACTCGAGCAAGTGGATCCACTCTACAAATTACAAAGAGTTGGTGACCATCTTCAGCTTGGAGAATATTTGTTCAGGTGCAGCTCTTAAACACATTGCCTTATGACTATTAGAATATGCCTCTTTTCATAAATAACAGTCTGTATCCATTTCTTTTCTCCCCCAAACTCGAAAGGGCAACAAAACATTAGGTTTGTAGATGTAGGAAGAGAAAACGTGTTAACTAATTTTCACATTTTGATCAGAGGTATTGCTATACTTGGTTTGTCATTTGTTTTTAAGCAAATAACATCTAAAGAATCAGCTTTTAAAATATTTTTGTATACTTACCGTTCTGTCATGTGTAACAGTACCTCAGCTAACATTCTAGTTTTTAATCTTTAATACAATGATAGCAGTCAAACATGCAACTTCCCTTTGACTGAAGTTCTTGATGGTTTAATGTTTGAGCTTTTCTAAGTAGTAGAGGATCTCAGAAATCTAGGTTTATGGTTTATAATGCATATTGTCATGTGGGCACCTTCCTTTAAGGTATAGCTTAGATATAGCATATCTAAAAGAACCTATTTTGTACAGCTCGGCCTCAGACTAGAAAGGAAGCGTGCCAATGCAAATGGATATAGAGATCTAGTGTTCTGAAGACTGGATAACGGAAGGAGACTTACACACATGATGAAGGGTTAGTTACGTTTACAGCTGTTGCCTTTCCATAGTGGGCTCAGCAGGTTTTTCAATTATATATGGATTTTTTTGCAGTTGGGATAGGGAATAGCAGTTCGTTTTGTGTGTTTTAGACTTTATTTGTAAAGCTAGTTAGCTTCCCTTTAGATACATACATTTTGCACATGTGCATCTACCTATTCGCTCAGATATTTATGCACAAGAGTGAAGGCTTTTCAGGGAACAGAACAGCTAAGGCAGGCTGATTTTCAGCTAAACAGGCCTCCTGTAAGATAATAAGAACTGATACCTTCTGTATGTTTCATATTGAAGAACTCTAATAGATGAAGATTAGGAGTCAGAAAACATTCACTGTAAATATGCAGTTACTTGTAAAGATAGAAACTTCTTCTTCCATGTGTTTTACCATAGAATTTAAATATTTATTGATTTTTGTATTTAAAGACTACCTTCATATAAATATATGATTCTAAAAACATAATTCTTCTCATTCTCAGAGTAACCAAATGAGCAACACTAGGCCAAATGGGTTCATGGTATGAGTTACAAAGCATTACTGAGTTTATCCTCTGTCCCAACCTTGTCTAGTGGTTTGGGGGGTATATATTTGAATTCATTGTAATTTATCTTTTAAATTATAAACCCTGTGAGGATAAATCTGGTATTTCAATCTTGAAAACTTTAAAACTGGACTGGAGAGATGGCTTAGCAGTTAAGATCACTGACTGCTCTTCCAAAGGTCCTGAGTTCAGTTTCCAGCAACCACATGGTGGCTCACAACCATCTGATGCCCCTTTTCTGGTATGTCTGAAGAAAGCTACAGTGTACTCATATAAATAAAATAAATGAATATTTAAAAAAAAGGAAACTTTAACCCTAATATTTGAAATTTGTCATAAATATTTCTTCCCAGTATCTGAAAATGTTAAACTTTCCATTCAAATATCTTTCCTAAGTTGTTTTGTAATCTGCCCAAGTAATTATAATAATGAAGTAACCATACTTCTCAAATTTAGTCTTTACTGGATTTTACTCAGGTGAAACATTTACTCTGAAATTCCTAAGGCCACAAACCGTAAGGGTTTTGGAGGTTAGACACATTGGATATAAGGCAGCTTGATCTTGTGTGTGTTAATCTGTTGCTCTTGGGTGATTTGATGAATGGTTTTTATATGACTTAAAATGGGACTGTAGGACTGAAGCTGTAGTTCAGTGATAGCATTTGCCAGGCATGCATAGTACTCTAGGTTCAATCCTTTGCATTGCCAAAAAAAAAAAAAAGGTGGATAAACTGGAAGCCTAATCACTTTTTTCTGGAATTAAATGATCAAAGGATATAAGTATTTTTAATATATGAAAAAAATCTGTTGCTTTCTGTGACAAGTGAAGTCCTGACTCTGGAAATTATACTATAGCTTTTCCTGGTTTGCTGCAAAGGCACATGGTTGATTAAAGAAAGGAGGACTGGAGGGGCAGAAGCATCCAGGAGAGGCACTCCTGTTCTAAGATGGTGCAGTTTCATGCTTCTGGTGAATTTCAAGGTTTTGAATATCCCTGCAGGATGTGCATGGGTAGCATAGCCAACTTGGATGATCACCTGCTGCTTCTACATCTGAGACCATGACACTGTTCTACATGTCTTAGCAATAGGAACAGTAAAGACTTGATTTAATTGGGGTTCAGATTACAAAAACTCTAGTGATGACAACGTATTTGAATGTTTTATATGTTTCTTTTTTTGGCGGGGGTGGTTTTTTGAGACAGGGTTTCTCTGTGTAGCCCTGGCTGTCCTGGAACTCAATCTGTAGACCAGGCTGGCCTCAAACTCAGAAATCCACCTGCCTCTGCCTCCCAAGTGCTGGGATTAAAGGCGTGCGCCACCACTGCCTGACGTATATGTTTGTTAAAAATCATCAAATATTAAGTTTTTGTGTGTATGTGCTTTGTTTGGTTTTGGCTTCAAAGTTATGTAAGTTGAATTTGATCTTTTCATTGTGGGATCTTTTGTTGGGCAAAGCATACATAGCATGAGACTGAGAAGCATATCACTGTTGATTCTGTCTTTTATAAATAGTACCCTCAAAAATGTGATAGAAGGCTAATAAGCCTATACTTGGAGATAGAATAGAATCTGTTGACTTACTGCATTTGAGCTGCTTGCTTTTTCCTGGAGATGAAAATGAAAATTTGTTGGTTGATATTTTTGGGTACCATCAAGTTGTACGTATTAGTATGGTTTGAGCACTGAAGTGATCTTTAACTAGACTGTCGCTTTCTACGATGGTTGGATGGAAGTAAATGTATGAATGTTGATGGATCTATATATGTAACTTAGAGATCCTTCTCTGGATTCTGTGTGCTTTTGTTCTACAGAACTGAAATAATTTGTGATTATTAACAGGTATTGGGCACTTACTGTATATCAATTTACTATTCTAATTTAAAAAGAAGTTTTGTAATAGCTTTATTAAAGTACACTTTACCATGAAAATTTATCCTTTCAAAGTGTACAATTCAGCAATCCTTACTATCTTCACAGAATCACCCAACCGTCACCACTATCTAATTTGAGAATGTCTGTCTTTATCACTCTGCAGAGAAACAAGTCACTCCTGTTCTCTATTCACCTTCAGTCCCTGTCAACTACCAGTCTACTTTCTGTCCATCTGGCCAGGCATTATTCTTAATGCTTGCTCTGTTGCCTCCACTCTTCAACATAAAGTGCTATAATTCTCATTTTACAGTAGAAAGTTTAGGCACAGAAATGTAATTGCCAAAGGTCATGTATTGATGCATGCAAGTGACTTGATGGTAAGAACACATTAGACGAGATACAGTTTGTATTGCACTGTTAGGCACATGGAATGAACACTCCTTCCCAGGTTATGTCCCCTCTTACTCACCTTTGTACCCCAGAACTGACTGGAGGTAGATATGTTTTTTTTTTCCCCAGAGTAGTGAACTCTGGCATCTGAGCACACAAAGCAGGCAAACTTAGAAAGACATAGGTTTGCTGCCCTTACTCCTCCTTGAACCCCCCTTTCCTCTCTTCACATGTACATAATCTATTTTTCTTTAAGCTTGAAGAATCAAATTACTACTTAAAATTCCATTTCACATATACCACATAGCGTACTGAGTCTATTTCTAAGACTTGAGATTAAAGTCATTCAAGAACTGAATGCCTTTCTATTTGGATAGATGTGGTGAGAATAAAGATTTTGCCTTAATAAAGCTTGTTCATTTCTGGTCTTTGGTACTCTAATCCTGATCTTTCCTATGAGCAATAAACCTGTGCAAAGAAACCTGTAAAATGGTTTGTGGGTTATATGTGCCAATAAATACATTAGAAAGGGGTAAATTTGTGTCTGCCTTTGTACTGAAGGCACAGAAATACTTGCACTATATTCATGGCAGGTGATAGATATCAAGTATGTAGAATTGTGTGGAACAAGTTTAAAAGGAAAGTCAAGTTTATTGAGCAAATATGGTATGCCAAGCTCTGTATTGGTCCATAATACATTGTATCTCCTCTATTTACAACATTTTTGTAGTCAAATACAGTGCCAAGTTCAGAACAACTGGGACATCAAAGAGTGAAGAAAGGTTTCTTGCAGCAAATAGTAATTGGAAACTAACGAAGTATAAAGGTAGAGTTTACTGTGCTAGGAAGTAGACCATCTTGCTGAAAGTGGCTTTAAAGCAATATATGAGGACATGGAGATTAATTGGATTAAAAGGACAGTGTGTGTGTGTGGGGGGGTGTCCCTGTGTTTATAATTAGAAGTCTAGAAGACTGCATGCTTCTGAGAACAGCTGAGTAGGTACTGCCTCTGGCTATCAAAGTGGTGATATTTTTTGGATGACTGCAAATACAAGCCTGCAGGGTAGTATAGTCCTAGATTACAGGTGTCAGTGTTGAAGGAACATGGTATCTTGGACATCTTGAGAACAGTTGCTGAAAGACAAGAGTGAAGAATTAGAAGTCTAAATGGTAAAGTTTAAACAAACCACCATGGATTTCGAGGATTATCTTCATCTAACACTTATTTCCGTAAGGCTGTTACCATCTTACAGTGCTGAGGGCCACACCCAGGGCTTTGTGCATACTAAGCAAGTGCTGTACCACTGAGCTATATCCCTAGCCCTTGGCTTTTTGAGGCAGGATCTTACCACATAACAGACTAGCATTCTTTGCCTTGGCCTCCTGAGTATTGAGATTACAAGGCATGTAACCACAAAGTTCAACTCATAAGGAGGATATTCTGATTCAAGCCTTTGGCCATAGTAAAAGACAGGAGAAAAGATGGGTCAATAGATAATTTAAGTATATTGTTGACACTTAAAAGTCATGATGACTGGGAGCCCACAGAGAAGATATTTTCATTATCATTTGTGAAAGTGGCCCATGAAACCAGTTACTTAGCAATCTGTGGAAAGAAGAAAGCCCTCTGGTGACATTAGAGAGATTGCTACACATTTCATATATGCTTTTATGGAGCACTTCATATTAGTTCAAAGCATGTGGAAGCACCAACATGCCACACTCAAGGCCTCTCAAATACTAAGTGATAAAGCTGCTACTTGAAGCCAGGCCTACCTGGCTCTCGAAAGCAATTCAGCTAGAATTAGTTGAATATGAGCTGCATGTAATAGAAAAACCAGAAACAGGTGACTAAGTAAAATAAAGGCTTATATCATTTTTAAAAAGTCTAGGTCTGGAGAGATG